CGCGGGTACGAGCAGCAGGAGGAGGAGGAAGGGAGGAAGAGAGACGGGGAGGTGTTGTTTCCGACCATTCACTATCTCTCAGCGTGCATCACATACTTGACGACCCTGTCGTCATCGAGCATACAACTACCCTCGTGCAGAAGATTCTTCAGGTTGGCAGAGCGTCTCTCGTACTGCCTCATCCCCGTCGCTCTCCCTTCTCCTGCTCTCCCCGCTCCCCTAACCCTCGTTCAAACCTCCCGATGCCTTTCTTGCTGCTCATTTCCTACACCTTCGCTTCTCTCTACCCTTCCTGCCATCTTTGCGAAAATTTCCAACTGATTTCTCCTGCTCCTGCTCCTGCTCCTGCTCCTGCTCCTGCTCCTGCTCCTCCTGCTCCTGCTTCTCCTGCTCCTGCTCCTGCTCCTGCTCCTCCTGCTCCTGCTCCTGCTCCTGCTCCTGCTTCTCTGACTTGCTTCAAGGACCCTGGCATCAGGAAGGAGACAGCCAACGCTCTCTGGGGAGTTCTCGCAACCCTCGTCACTTTAGGATACGTCACTCCTGGGAAGTACGCCGTCCAGATGCCCGACCCGAGCCAGGCATGCCTTCCTCCTCCTCCCCTCCTCCTCCCGCTCCTCTCCCTCCCGCTCCTCTCCCTCCCGCTCCTCGTCCTTTCTCTCTCTCCTGTCCTCACGCTCCACCTTCCCTGTCTACCCTCCTCACCCTCTTCCTCGTCTCTCTGCTGTCTCCTCCTCTCTCATTCTCCTCCGCAGACTTCAATCATCAAGATCCCCAGCGGGCTCGATCTCGGTCCTCCTCCTCCTCGGGGCGGGCAGGAACAGGCAGGGGTGGTGAAGGTCCTTCCGGGGGAGCGAGCGGCGAGAGCCAAGGTAGAGATGGAGCAGACATGCTGGATGGACAATCCTCCCAAGAGCAGGACGTAGGAGGGAGAAGACAGACTAGCAACGGGCGGAGAGGAGGATTGGAGGAAAGGGGAAGAGCAGCGGTGGATGGAGAGGAGGGGGAAGGGAGGACGGGGAGGGGAGCAAGGAGAGGGGAGAGGAGCTGGAGAGGGACGGAAGAGAAGGAGAAGCTAGGGACGCAAGAGAGGGGAGCGATAGTAACGGCATACATGATAACATACATAAACTTGAGGTACAAGACAGCAAATGTTGCGTTTCATCCTCCCGCCCTCTCCCTCTCTCTCTCCCTTCCTGTTCCCCCTTCCACCTCCCCTCCCCTTGGTCTCCCGCCTCCTCGTCTCCTTCCTGCTCTCCTTCCGTACTCCTCCTCTCTCTCTCCTCCTCTCTCTCTCCTCCTCTCCCCTCACCAGCTATTGAATATTTCTCGGACTGCAGCACTGAAACTTCAAGTCAGCTGAGAAGATGGCAGGGAGCGCTGGAACCTGACTGTTGGATCCTTCCCGCCGTATTCCTCCTCCCTGTCGAGCTCTGCGACCGAAGT